GGTTTAGGGTGTAGAAACCAGTATCTCATGTCCAAGCATTCACTAGTCCAGTAGCTTGCAAGATTTGGAAATATACCACCCGCCCAAAGCTCGAAACACCTGCACCTAGAACCCTAAACCCTAAACCCCCTAAGGCCCTAAACCCCTAATCCCTAAAACCCCAAACCCTAAACCCTAAACCCTCACTCGCTGCCTCTGCGGAGGCATGGGGCTGCTGCTCTGGGCCCAGCACCTCCAAGAAGTTCAGGGGTTTCGGTGTTCAGTTAGGGGTTCAGTTAGGGGTTCAGGGGTTTAGAGGTTCAGGGGGTGCAGTTTGGGGGTTTTGGGGTTTAGGGTTTTGGGTCTTGGGTTGAGGGTTGAGGGTTGAGGGTTGAGGGTTTAGGGTTTAGGGTTCAGCTCAGCAGTTTCGGTGGAAGTCGAGGAGTTCAGTGCCGAGGCTTCGGTTTAAGGGTCTAAGCGACTTGGGATTCAGGGGTTCTGTTCAGCTGTTTCGGTCTTCGGATTCAGGGCCGAAGCTTGAGACTGAGGTTCAGCATGTAAAGGGCCGGAGGTTCTCCCGGTTTTGGATGCTAGTGGCAAACGGGTGAACGTCCACAGCTTGGGGTATCTTTTCTGAGGTTTCACCCTCAACCCTAAAACCCTAACGCTACACCCTCACCCCAGCGTTGATACACGTCCACTCCTTGCTACAGAAGCTTGACAAATAACCGATTCCCCGAATCCGCAATTTAGAGTTTAGGGTTTAGGGCTTAGGGCTTAGGGCTTAGGGCTAAGGCCTAGGGTTCAGGGTTTAGGGTTGAGGGTTTATAGAAATTGTATAGGGTTCAGGTCCGGAGTTTTGACCGAAAGTTTTGACCGAAAGTTTTGACCGAAAGTTTTGACCGAAAGTTTCGACCGAAAGTTTTGAGCGAGTTTTTTGTTTTGCTTTGTTGAGGCGCGACGGGGGGGGGGGGCTGGGGGGGACTGGACTGGAAAGTTTGGGGCTGGCTTGGGATGGGGTGGCTTGGGGTTCGGCCTTCTGAGGTGGATTATGGGGCGAGCTGCTCGTAATGAAACGCATACAATTTCTATTTATCCTGGTCTTGAGGGTTTAGGGTTTAGGGTTTAGTGTTTAGGGTTTAGGGTTTAGGGTTTAGGGTTTAGGGTTTAGGGTTTAGGGCTTAGGGTTGAGGGTTCAGGGTTTAGGGTTTAGGGTTTAGGGTTTAGGGTTTAGCGCTTAGCGCTTTGCGCTTAGGGCTTAGGGTTTAGGGTTTAGGGTTTGGGGTGCCCCCCCCCCCCCCACACACACCCCAAAACCCGAAACTCTCCACAGCTCTCCTCCGGCCTGCCACTGCTGTAGCTTGGCACGGACCCGGTCCGTCAGAACCTGTCAGGTTGCAGGTCTTGTTTGCGGGGGGGTTAGGTTTAGGGTTGAGGGTTGTGGGTTGTGGGTTGAGGGTTGGGGGTTGGGGGTTGAGGGTTGAGGGTTGAGGGTTGCGGGTTGAGGGTTGAGGGTTGAGGGTTGAGGGTTGGGGGTTGGGGGTTGGGGGTTGGGGTTGGGGGTTGAGGGTTGAGGGTTGAGGGTGAGGTTGAGGTTGAGGTTGAGGGTTGGGGTTGGGGTTTGCGGGTTGAGGGTGGGTGGTTGGGTTGGGGGTTGGGTTGGGGGTTGGGGGTTGGGGTTGGGGGTTTGGGTGGGGGTTGGGGGTTTGGGGGTTGGGGGTTGGGGGGGGGTTGGGGGGTTGGGGTTGGGGTTGGGGGTTGGGGTTGTTGGGGGGGGGTTGGGGGTTGGGGGTTGGGGGTTGGGGGTTGGGGGTTGGGGGTTGGGGGTTGGGGGTTGGGGGTTGGGGGTTGGGGGTTGGGGGTTGGGGGTTGGGGGTTGGGGGTTGGGGGTTGGGGGTTGCATGTTTCTGGTGGGGCTTAGCGCCAAGTTTAGGGTTGAGGGTTTCGGGTTTACGGTTTTAATGGAGGGGGAGCGGTGCAAGGGGTTTTACACTTTAAAGGGGTTTGCTGGGGCGCCTCATTCCGTGACTCCTTGCTGGGAAGGTCGAGGATTGAGGGCTTGGGGTGGAGGATATGGGGTTCTAAGGATTCGGGTTTAGGGTTTAGGGAAGTTTTGTCGGGTTTGGGGTATCCTAAACCCTAAACCTAAACCCTAAACCCCTAAACCCTAAACCCTAAACCCTAAACCCTAAACCCTAAACCCTAAACCCCAAACCCTAAGCCTGCCAAACCCCTTCGGCACACCCTGCTTGCCTTCATCGTGGGGTCCAGCTGCACGGGCGACTGGCTGAGTTGGAAGAAGTCGGCCACCTCTCTCACCCATTTCGGGCTTCCGGGGGGGGTTAGAGAGGGTTTATGTAGGGTTGCTACAGGGGTTTACATAGGGTTTATAAAGGGTGCATATCGGGCTTCTGTCGGTTTTTTTTCTGGGGCTTCTATGGGGTTTGTGCAGGGTTTATATGGGGTTTCTACAGGGCTTCTATCGGGTTTGTATCGGGTTTGGGGTGTCTTGAGAGTTTCAGGGCCTTGAATTGTGTAGGCTGGGGAGGTGCCTTCAAGACATCCCAGTCTAACCTGAACTTGGCTGCACTCAGGAGGGTAGCTGTAAATGAAACTTTTAGCTACCGTAATAAGAAACCCAATAAACCCCAAAAAAAAGGTAAGGATCTAAAGTTACGGTAAAGTACCACAAAGTGAATGTCCGAGGAATCTTCCCCCGGATCTTTTCATGCCAGATTCGTCAGGCACCAGGAGAACTTCTTTTCCGAGCTTGAAGGAGACTGGGTACTGCAAGCAAGAAAGGCATAGGGAGCGTGGTGAGCAGGATGATATGAGCATGGTTTGAAACGTATGCCCTTTGATCACGCCACGAAATCCTAACCTATTGCGGCAACCTAAGTAGCTCTCTTTCTCATTCTCTCTCTCTCTCTCTCTCTCTGTCTCTCTCTCTCTCTCTCTCTCCGTCTCGCTCGCTCGCTCTGCGCTCAAGCACAGCGCGCTTGCTAGGCACCAGGGTTGAAGACTCTTCGTTGAGGACCTTGAATGAGGGTTTGTCAATAAGACGACATGACAGCGCAACCCGAAGCTCAAGCTCCTGGGCATTTTGCGGGTCCGGCGAAGGGTCCTGGCCTAAACCCCAAGCCAAAACCCTGAAAAAAACACGACTGGGATGGCGCGCAGAGGATGTGGAGGGAATGGCGGCATATCGGGCCATGTACCTGGCTTCGCTGGCTTCGCTGGTGGAGGGCTGAGGCTCCTAGTTTCCAACCCAGCATAAACCTGCTGACGGTTGAGGCCTTGAGGTTCCAAAGACAACCTGACGGCGTTTTACCTGAAACCCTAAACCCTAAACCCTAAACCCTAAACCCTAAAAGCTCACAACCTCCCCTCAAAAAAGGCTCACGAGATTAAGGGAGGGCTCCTTCAACCTCCTAGTTCTTTATAGAAAAGTAGGCTTAGGGTTTGGGGTTTTAGCGGTCCCCCTACATTAACCTATGAGGGACTATGTAGGGCACCGGATTCCCTGATTCCATGCGAAGAAGCAGTAAGTCAAGCTATCACAGACCTCGGAGCGACACCCTAAACCCTAAATCCTAAACCCTAACCCCATGAAGCAACGGTTGACCTGCTCACCCTCAACCCTAAAGCCCTCAATCCGTCTCTGCCTGCAACCCCTAAGACTTGGGATGTTCCCTCACACATCAACGGTCCATTATAGGGATTATAGTAGCGGGTACTATAATCCCTATTAAGGACTGTTAGTATAAGGGGGAACATTTAAACCTAAGACCCTACATGGCCTCAAAGAAAACCCGAATTGCCCTGAGCCCTGAGGCCTTAAGCACCCCAAGTTACCCTTAGCAACCACCCCTACATGCCCAAACCCAAAAACTCCGCCAGCAAACCATACACCCCAAACCCTACACCCTAAACCTAAAACCCTAAACCTAAAACCCTAAACCCCAAACCCTAAACCCTAAGCTTAAGCCCTGAACCCTAAACCCTAAACCCTAAACCCTAAACCCTAAACCCTAAACCCTAAACCCTAAACCCTAAACCCTAAACCCTAAACCCTAAACCCTAAACCCTAAACCCTAAACCCTAAACCCTAAACCCTAAACCCTAAACCCTAAACCTAACCCTAAACCCTAAACCCTAAACCCTAAACCCTAAACCCTAAACCCTAAACCCTAAACCCTAAACCCTAAACCCTAAACCCTAAACCCTAAACCCTAAACCCAACCCCTTGGCCTCCGCTCCTTCACCCGCCCCACATCCCGCTGCTGCGTGCCGGACCTCTGGAGCGCTTGGGTTGAGGAGCTCGATTCCAAAAGGCTTGTCTAAGGTTTAGGGTTTAGGGTTTAGGGTTTAGGGTTTAGGGTTTAGGGTGTAGCACGGGTCAGCTGAACGCATTAGTATGCAGACATGCCCACCCCAAGGCCACCCAATCACAACTCACTGCGAACCCAAACCGGAGCCAGCCAAAGCCAAGCCAGCCAAAAAAAAATCCACACGTTTTAAATGCAGATGAGGCGCTGCAACCCTTCCAGCACGTGGTGGGTCGCGTACCACAAGTTGGCAGAACGGCCCCTGTCTTGCGCTAACAAGTTGAAACAGCAACAGCAAGCAGCGCGGCTCTGGCACGGCTCTGTAGGCAACGGGTTTGGAGCAAAGGCGCAACAGTCTAGAGAATACATGCAGTCATGCAGTCGCTAAGAGCACGAACAGCGAAGCCTTTTGCTCAGGAAGCGCACGAGCGACTCGAAAAGCGCGAACACGCTGGCTTTGTGCACTGCGGCTCGCCTTTCTGTCCGGAGTCGCAGCCTGTCGTCGCGACAAGGTGAAGTGCCACTACTCTGCGGGCGCAGAAGCACATTGCTTGACGAACGGTGTATCTGGTATCTTAGGATGCACATCTATACATAAGCGTGTGCATTTGCCCAGCGAGCAAGGGACGTCCTTGGAGAGCACGGAAGTGAAACGTAGGGATTCGCCCCTGTATCCGGCACAAACGAAAATATTCACATGGCCGGCACGAAGTGCTCCGCAGCCACGCAGCCTCCGAGCAGGTAGTCACAATCGCGCCGAACGCGGGAAAGTGCGACGTACCCTGCAGCGGGGCATCCAGGGCAATCTGGCCAGAAGGTCACATGGCGCAGTTCTGCGCCCTGGAACTTGTGCACCGTATCCGCGTACCCGAGGCGCACGGGATGGTACGTCACGTGGCCATCTGGGACGTTGTCGTCACTGACAGGATAGACGCAGAGAGTCTCCGAGGTCTCGGTCTCCACGATCAGTGCACTGTAGCGTGGGTCGAAGCTCAGGACCGTGGCTGCCATGCCGTTCACGAAGTCATGGGCCTTGTCCATGTTGCGTGTGAGTCGGACTCGGAGGCCAACGTAGAGGGTGAGCTGCCAATGGCTCGGGGCAACGGTCCAGGAGGACCCCGGTGTCCTCGTCATAGTTCGCAGGGTTGCTTTCCCAGTCGGCAGCAACGCGCCCCAAGGCTGGCTGACCTGCGCGCTTGAAGAGCACCTCCTGGGCCAGGGCGTTGACGAGCGCAGCGCCACGACGAGTACAGGTGATGACCGTCGTGTCCCCGGCCGTCCTCTCCATGAGCGCTTGGATGTCCTCTGCTCTCGGCCGGTGGTGCCCGGACCAGGCCTTGTGGTTGCGGCACAGGTCCCGCACGAAAGTGCTTCCTTCCGTGCCCGTGGGCCGATTCTTGCGAAGGAAGGTCAACTTGCTTTGCAGAAGATCGTCTTCATGCTGACGCCAGATGTGGTGGAGCTCGATCTTGCGGACCAGGTTCCATTTGGGATGCCTGACCAAACTCCGCTTGGTGTGGTCCGGTGGAGGCAGCTGCCATTCGTCGCCGGCGAAGACGAGACATGGCGCCTTCCCTGCAGCCATCCACATCTCGTCGAGGCGGTCGAAGCGCTCTTCAAAGAGTTGCGGCGCCTCGTCTATGACGATGAGATCATAGCAGCTCATGATGCCCATGGCCTCCGCGAGCGGCTTGTGGAACAGGAAGGCGCCGTGGCACGTGTCCAGCTCCGCATCCGGATGGCGCTGCTTCACACGCGCCCGCTGGACGCCAGTCGCAGTCGGGAGAGCAATGAGCACGCGCGCTCCCCGCTGCTGGGCCCGCCGGATGCAACGGTCCAGGACGGCCGTCTTGCCTGTGCCCGGAGCGCCGGAGCAAGCGACCCTGGAGCCATGCTCCTCAATGATGCCTGCCAAGCGCTCGTACTCCTGCTCGTCCTCCACTTCCCGAAGTCGCAAGGCTTGGTCCACCCGCTGGTTGACGTTGCGCTCGAAGGTGGCTTGCTCCGCGGCGAAGACGAGGTCGTCCAACCTCTCTTCGAAAAGGTCCGCGATACTCCGGGGCACGGCGACAGCCTCCACACGCCGCAGCTCTCCTGAGAGGTGCTTGCTGGATGAAGAAATCCTGCGCCTGGAGCATGCTGACAGTGGTCATCCACTGTCTCAATGTAGGCATCCCGGTGCGCGCGCAGAGCCATGTACTCGCGCACGCGTGGGGCGCTGCGCCAGAGCTCGGGCGCCCAGTGCAGGGCGCACGCGAGAAACTTCACCTGATCGGGGACCGACTGCACGATCTCCGGCAACAGGAGATCTTCCAATCGCTTGTACGGAATGCGCAGCGCCATCCATTGCCCGTAGAACTTGTCGTTCTGCATGGAGACCATCTCCGCGGCGATGATCCTTTCCCCGAAGGTCTCAAAGCGCACCGCGAAGTCCTGCAGAGGGACCCTTTGGTCCGTCTGCAGATAGGCTTTTCGGATATGCTCCAGGATGGCGCCCTTCTTGTTGACCCGCCGCAGGTATTCGATCAGTGGCATGTCGCAGCGCCAGTCCGCAGCTTCGTAGAGTTGGAGGTACTCCGGCTTCACCGGCATTCCTGGATGGGGTGCGATGATCGGCTGCATCGTGCCTCCCATGAAGAACATCGGAAATGTCTGATTGGCAAGAAGAAGCCACATTTCCGGCTCCCCGGGATGGAATGTGAAGAGAACTCGCCGAGCTGCGCCGTAGCCGCTGCTGGCGTCGTCCATGAGCTCCTTGCCCGGGCCATCGCCGAACTTCGGTAAGTAAGTGGCGGTGTACTTGAGCATGAGGCCGGAGCCACGGTCCAGCTGCAGGTCCTGATGGCACTTCAGCACATCCAGAACTTCGGGGATGTACCCTCTGATGCCGAGCTTCTTGTCCAATTCCGTGTGGCGCAAGCGCACCTTGTCCTGCACCGCATCATACTCGTTGTTGCCCGAGTGCTGTGGCCATCCGCTGCCCGTGCGTCCAGCCTGGCCATCAAGGACATAGCCTCGCAGAGGGTTCCCTTCTTCAGGCACCGTCGCGCTCGCCTTGTCGGGGAGACGCACGGGGGCTAAACTGTCTGCAAACACCAGTCCATGGAGGTGAACTGCGGCCCGTCCGTGGTAGCTCTGCGTGACTTCCTTTCCTTTGCCGTCTTGGAATTCGAGGTGCCCAATGAAGTTGACCTTCAACCTGCGCCCATTCTCCATGACGCCGCCGAGGAGGGCGGAGCGCCAAGTGCTGGAGGCGTCGCCAGACTTTCGGCCGCCTCCACAGACCCACTCGCGGAACAGCTCCGTGAGGATGTGGGCGAGATGCATCGTCTCGGGGCCGGCCAGCTGCAGCCGCTGCCGACCCAGCTGCGCCATCTGCCGCAGCAACCACTCATGGTAAGGGGCGGACCACTCAAAAGGTGCCCATGTCAGAAAAGCCACCGGATGGCTGCACTGGGCTTGCATGTCCAACGCCGCCGCGTGCCGCACTTTCCAATATTGGGGGGTCCACGGAGCGCCCTTCATGGCTTGCCACATGGGTGTGCCGCGAAGTGCGCCCTTCTTGCCGCCAACATCGGACCACGTGGAGAGATCGAACACGAAGTGCAGCAGCTCGTACTCGCCGGCGTAGTCCGCGATGGGGCCCAGGGCTTTGGCAAGAAAGTTGCGCTTGAGACTCTGCCTGCGCGCAGGGTCCACGTCCTCCTCCTCGCCTGCCTGGTCCTCAGACCACCCGTCGTCGTCCGGCTCAGCTGACTGGCGGCGAGCTGCGCGCCGCACGTCTGCCAGGCGAGCGGCGGTCTCGCACAAGCGCCGGTCCCAGTACAAGTGAGGCCAGAGAACGCACTCCACGGCCGCCTCCTCGATGCATCGCAGCGGGCGCTTGCGCCGATCGTGGTCCGCCTCCGGGTACCGCTGCATGAAGGCTCGGCGGCGACGGACGAAGTCGCGGTAGCTAGAGTCGTCGCTGCGCATGAGGAACTCGAAAGCCTGCGCAGGGTGAGCAGCCTAGCAAACGAACCCACAATGACAGCTTGAGATGTGGTAGGGCCTTCGCAGCAGTGCGGCGGGCAGCGCCATCCAGGCCGGCGATCTTCGCCTCCACGTCCTGCGCGGACCATGCAAGCCGCAGCATCGTGCTGTGGAAAAAGTACCCGTAATCCGCCTTCCACTCTGGACCGCAATCCACCTCCAGCGGACGCAGAGCCAGAATAATTTCACGGGATAAACCCCGCAGCGGCTCCGGAACTTCCTCCGGCCATGGGACCCAGATCTGCTTCGACTTGTTTTTCTTGCAATTCTTGCACCGCTGGATCACCGCCGCCGGCACGCGACTGCAAGCTGCCTCCTTCAGGTGCTGCGGCTGCACAGATCCACAGATGGCACATAGTCGCCCGCTTGCACCAGGCCTCCAGAGCAACTGCCGACGAACTCGCGCAGGCCGACGGAAGGCCGGTGTCGTTCGGAGCCAGGTCCTGGACCCGATTCTGCAGAGCCTCGGACTGCGGGTTCCGCCATGTCCACTGCGCGTGCTTGACCCTGCGCCACACGGGCCTTGAAATCTTCCACTTCGGTAGGGGTCGGAGGAGCCAGCACAGAAGTACGCCAGGAGAGCACGGTGTCCTTGTCGGGTTTCGAAGGCTGCCGTGAGGGCTCGATCAAGGCGGTCCTTGTCTCCGGCGGCAGGAATGCGAGCACACTGCGGCGGAGTGCCGCCTCGTAGACTGCCGGCGCGGTCGCCCGCCACTTCTTCAACAGACGCACGACGTTGCCGCGACCCTGCGGGGTCCGGATCGTTTGTTCCATGGACCCTGCGTCGCAGAAGACACATCTGAAAGAGCGCTTGCCTTGAGCCCGGCCGCCTTGCCCATCAGCTGCGAAGCAACATGGATGATCGGCTTGACCGCGGCACCAGGTTTGCGTGCCACGAGTCCGGGCGGCGCCGTCGCCGGAGACGACGAGGTTGTGGATGTCAGCCATGTCGGGGGTGACCTCGCCCACACGGGCCAGAGCCTCGTCGTAGATGTCCGGGTCGAAGCCACGCAGAACCTAAGGCTCTTTCGAAACTTTTAAGTGAAAGACTTACCCATAGAATCCAGAAAGCAAAGTGCAGTTAAGTCGCTCGGAGCATACGGATCACGTTGGACACGCCGGAAGTCGTCACCGCTTCTTCCAGACGCTCCAAGTCGCAGAACGAGCATGCGCCGTGGCCCCGCGTCGGCTGCGCTGGCTCGCCAGCCTGAGAAGTGGAGAAACGGCACGGAGCATCAAGCACGCCAGGGCAAGTGCGCGGCATGCTCCGCAGGAAAAAAGCTCACAAAACACACAGGTTCGGCTACCGCAGATACTTGGCTGAGCCAGGAGCTTCGAGGCCGAATGTGAGCAGAAGCAACAGTGTTCGCAAGGAAATACGTCGAAGAGCCCCGGCTCACACGCATCATAACGCTCATGCAAGCAGGCCACCCCCCGAGCAAGGAACCTTTTTTAGTAGTGCGTCCGCCAGCGCACAAGTCTATGAGAACGGCGGGCGACCCGCCAGAGAGGAACCGTTTTTTAGCACAGATGCGACTGCCAGCACACAAGTCTATATATGAGATGCCTTTACATCGTCCCTACTCAGGACGATCACAGGGGCCCGTCGTGGATGTCGTCCTCGCCCAAGGCATGCGGCACCTAGCTGCATGGGACATGTTCGCAGCAGCCCTAATCATGCGCATCACAGTCGAGGCAAAAGAGTGAGTGACTAGACACGCGAGTTAGAGAAGTGCACCGCGGTGCCTGTGGCCGGATCCCCAATCACCAATGTCGCCGTTGACCACGAAGAGCCGAGAAGCATCGAGACCTCAGAGACACAAGACTACGACTGTCCAATGCTGCTGCAAAGGAAGGTCATGCATAGCTAGGTGCTGCCTAGCGGCGGAAAAAATGAAATGAAATTTAGCGTTTCGTCCAAAACCTCCCGCGGCAGGAATCAAAGGCCTAAGTTCAAAACACGAAGCGTTTTCCAAAACAACATCTAGCATACTTACCCGCAGGAGGTTTTGTAGGGAGACTGCGTCCCAACCTTAAGGAAAGCGAAAAATCGACACAAAAACGACCAAAATAGATAGCGAAAAAACGGGCCGTGAGGAGCAAAATGGCACGAAGGCAGGCGAGGGCAGGAAATCCGGGATCGCATCTTGCTGATTCGTCTAAGCATGGCTATTGAATCGTACAACCGTGGCGCCGCAACCAACGCAGAAAACACCCAAAAAACGCGGGTTCTGGGCCAGCAAGCGGTTTTTGGCTGCTGCGTCGGTTTAGGAAAACCGTACAAAACACCTGCGAAAACGCAGAAAACAAAACGGACCACGCACCCAAAATTTCGAATTTCGGCGTCCCGGGGGGGCCCCGGGACAATGTCTTGGGGGCGTCCCGGGGCGTCCCGGGTGGGCCCCGAGACATTTGTTTTAGGGGGGCCCCGGGACGCCCAAGACAACCTGTCCCGGGGGGGCCCCGGACAACCTGTCCTGGGGGGGCCCCGGGACAACCTGTGTTGGGGGGCAAGGCGCCTTGAGAAAGTCACGTGGAGAAGCTTTTTTTTTTTGTTTTAGGGGTAGGGCCTCCCAGGCAGCCTGGCAGGGGCCTCCCGAAGGGGCTTGAAGCCCTTTAGTGGTTTTCCAGAGGAAGGGGCCTCTTACGCGCCTCTTCGGGGCCTCCCAGGCTCCAGCAGGGGCCCAAGGGGCCTGGTTTGGGGCCTTCCAAAGGGCCAGAGGGGCTTGGCAGGGCGCAGGGCTTTGGGGCCTCCCAAAGGCCTTTCAGGGGCCTTCCAAATCCCTCCCAGGGGCCTCCCAGGGCCTCCCAGGCTCCTCCCAGCGACTCCCGGAGCTCGAGGACAAAAAAGGAATGAACCTGAAAAACCCCCAAGACTACGGGACGCCCGGGACACCCCCGGACAGTCTCGGACGTCCCTGGGAGGGTTTAGACCCTCCGTAGCTCAAGGGAAGGAGACGCCCCCGCCTTCCGCGAGCAAAAAAGTGTGGGGTTTAGGGTAATACAATATATCCGTGACAGTGCTTGGCGACCAAGCTTGGCGACCCCTCAGGTTTGCGGTTGGCAGGCTCTGCAGCTCAGCAGAGCCTGCCATGGTCTCGCTGAGCGCTCGACGGCGCCCACTCACCTCTAGAATGAGAGGGGTGGTGGGCGGGTTTAGGGTTTAGGGTTTAGGGTTTAGGGTTTAGGGTTTAGGGTTTAGGGTTTAGGGTTTAGGGTTTAGGGTATTAGGGTTTAGGGTTTAGGGTTTAGGGTTTAGGGTTTAGGGTTTAGGGTTTAGGGTTTAGGGTTTAGGGTTTAGGGTTTAGGGTTTAGGGTTTAGGGTTTAGGGTTTAGGGTTTAGGGTTTAGGTTTAAGGGTTTAGGGTTTAGGGTTTAGGGTTTAGGGTTTAGGGTTTAGGGTTTAGGGTTTAGGGTTTAGGGTTTAGGGTTTAGGGTTTAGGGTTTAGGGTTTAGGGTTTAGGGTTTAGGGTTTAGGGTTTAGGGTTTAGGCTTGCAGGTCTAGGGTTTAGGGTTTGGGGACTAGGGCTTTCTCTTCAAGGCTTGTACAAGGTTTCGGGTTTAGGCGCCCAGGTCCTGAACAATTTATGTCGGGTTCTTGGTGGGGTTATGCTACCGATGAAGGGTTTGGCCCTCCCACGGGGCAGCTCTGGGTCTGGAAGTCGAAACCCTGAACCCAAAACCCTGAACCCTGAACCCTAAACCACTGTGTTTGAAGGACCACCATGCCCTGCAAGAATTTGAGAGCTGCAGCGTTCCGCTGGACTAAACCCCAAAAGCCTAATCCTTGCTCTTGGGTGATTCATGGCCGCATTTGCTCCTTAACCCTACACCCTGCACCCTAGCATTGAGCCAGAAGAATGGCTTATGGTTCAGGGTTTAGGGTTTAGGGTTTAGGGTTTAGGGTTTAGGGCTTAGGGCTTAGGAGCAGCCCATGGGCAAATTGTGGTGGAGCTGCATCATCGTATCATAGTTTAGGGTCTAAGGTTTAGGGTTTAGGGTTTAGGGTTTAGGGTTTAGGGTTTAGGGTTTAGGGTTTAGGGTTTAGGGTTTAGGGTTTAGGGTTAGGGCTTAGGGCTTAGGGCTTAGGGCTTAGGGCTTAGGGCTTAGGGCTTAGGGCTTAGGGCTTAGGGCTTAGGGCTTAGGGCTTAGGGCTTAGGGCTTAGGGCTTAGGGTTAGGGTTTAGGGTTGAGGGTTCAGGGTTATGCTTTTCCCCTCAAGGCTTGTACAGGGTTTAGGGTTTAGGCACTAATTCCTGAACATTGCCACACATGCAGTCCTTAGATGGTACTTGAAACCTTGTACACCCCTTCTAGAAATCCTGAACTTGCCTGGGAACTCCCCTCCTGGAACTATTATGCAATGAAATTGTGCTGCCGGGCCTAGAGAAGACACCGTGAGGCCCTGAACAACTACATGCCCTGAACCCATTTAGGGTTTAGGGTTTGGGGTTTAGGGTTTCAGGTTTAGGGTTTAGGGTTTTGGCCCTAAACCCCTAATTCAGGCCCCAAGCCCGAAACCCCAGATTCCTAAATCCACTCCCTGAAGCCGCCGACTTCCGAAGCTCCGAAGCCCTAAACCCTGAACCCTAAACCCTAACACCAAGCCCTAAACCTTAAGCCCTAAACCCTAAACCCGAAACCCTAAACCTGAAACCCTAAACCCTAAACCCTAGACCCTGAGCCCTCAGCAAGGCCTGTTCCGAAGGAGGTCTGCTTGTATTCGGTCTGCAGTGACTGGGACGACCTAACTGTTGTCGCGTCTGGGGCTTCGGGGTTTAGCGTTTAGGAAGTTTAGGGGTTAGGGTTTAGGGTTTAGGGTTTGGTTGAAGGTTCTGAACTTAGGGGTTTAGTGGGTTTGGGGTGAGGGGCTGAGGGGGGTTGAGGGAGTTAGAGGGATGTGATATGGTGAGTCGTCCCAGCACCAGAGATCACCGTCCAGACCCGTTGAAACCCTAAACCCTAGGCTATCGTTGGCTCAATGATGGGGTGCAGGGTGTAGAATCCAGCCATGACCGTCTGGAGGCCCTGGCATTCGCCTCGCGATGGCGCCCAGCTGGGTTGGCAATGACCTGTGTTTGCGGAGTTTTGAGTTTGGGGCATTCCCCAAAACGACCTCAGGCCCCAAACCCAGACTCTCAACAGGATTTAGAGTGGGCAAGTAGCCTGGAGTGCCCTTGTAGTCCACGGGCGCAAAGGGGATTTGCAATCAACAAGTCAGCGGCCTCCGTATGCTAAACCGTAAACCCTAAGCCCTGAGGTTCGGAGTTGTCAGGGTTTAGGGGGCCAAAGGTAGAGGCCCCAGGCTCAGCTCTGCGAACTTCACTTGAAGTCTCAGGAAACTTCGCAACTGCCTCAGTACCGGTCTAGGGTTTAGGGTTTGGGGTTTAGGGTTCAGTGTTTGGGGTTTGGGGTCTGGGATCTGGGGTTGGGGCTTCTCCTATCTCAGAATCGTACTTAAGCCCTTAAGCAGGGTTCGGAGTCTCGGGCCGCGTGCCTGGATCTTGCCGACATCTGCCTGGGCAGGAGCTACCTTCAACCCTATCAACCCCAAGCCCTAAACCCTAAACCCCAAAACCCAAAACGGCTCCCCCCCAACCCCTAACCCTAAACCCTAAACCAAAAACCCTAAACCCTAAACCCCTAAACCCTGGTGGGGGTTGGCCTTCCGGGCTTCTGGGGTTGAGGGCCTTAGGGTTAGGTATCCGAGCTTAGGGTCTTGGAAAGTGCATGGCATTTGGCCTACCTACACCTACATGGGTAGTTGTCTGAATGAATGTCCCATTTGGAAATCTCCTTTGAAAGGGTGCCGCCTCATAATGGGTACCCAAAGAGGGACCCTCATTTAGGAAACTGCCAAACTCCTAAGCCCGAAAGTCATTGGGGTTCAGAGGGTGCAGGGCTCAGGGCCTCGACGGAGAAGGAGAAGGGAGAGAGAGAGAGAAGGAAGGAAGGAAGGAAGGAAGGAAGGAATGAAGGAAGGAACGAAGGAAGGAAGGAATGAAGGAAGGAAGGAAGGAAGAGAGAGGGGGATAGTTGGATTCCTCAAGTTCAGCGTTCGAAGTGCCACAAGTCGGGCCAATTGCTGCGTGCATGATGGTGCGATTGCTCACCAGGCAGGACTAAACCCTAAACCCTAAGCTCTAAACCCTAAGCCCTAAGCCCTGAACCCAAATTCATAGATGTTAGAGCCGCAGAGAAACAAACAACAAACCAAAGGCAGCCATAAGATGAGGCCAGCTTTCTCATGGATTGAGGTCCCTTTC